CACTGTGTTTGTTTTATTGTATATCAAGATAAAGCACACTGTATCTCACGAGAAAAAAATGATTATTAACTGAAGCTAGCTCAGCAGTTTGCTAATGATTATGGTATGATGAAGAGAGAAGATTTAGTGATCTTTTCAATGATGGTTTACCGAGTGCAATAAAGGAAATGAGAATTAAAAAAATCGGTTTCTTAATCATTTGCCCATTGTTAGCAGCGACAATACAATCTCAATTAACTAAAAATTACTTTCACCGAATGCTATGTGATCCTCTTCCTAAAAATTAAATTACAATCAATAAAATAAAGTTCACGTTTCTTTTTTCAATACAAATTATTGTTTGCCTGCCGAGTTGAGGCCGAACAGAATAACCATGAACTCTAATTTGTGGTCTTCATCAAACCGTGATCTTCTAAGTAATTCGCAACTCACAATCCATGCATGCACAGTTGGGAAAAGCTACAACTGCAAAATTGATTGACTGCTGAGGATTGCACACAGATGGTTCCGACACGCAACCCACAGAATGTTATTATTGATTATTGTGTTATATGGACTTAATCTCCAGCGTGATGAAACTTCTTAACATGTGTTTACTTAAACACAAACAGTGCTACTATAGAAAGGCAGTTCTCATTTTTTTAATTCAGTGGCACAGAAAAAGAGATTTTCAAATACGGTCTTTCGTGCAATTAATAAATTTCTTTACAATTTGCGACTTGATGTGAACTACAAAGGTTTAAGATGTTTTTAAACGGTATGGGGAAACCTACTCGGACTAAAGGAATAAATCCAAGCGGTACTTTGCGCCTAATACAGATAACATAAACTTCAGGATACTGCAAGAAGTCAAATGGAACTGGATGTCTTGTATCAACAATTTCTGAGAATTTAAAGGTCAGCGTATGATGAATATTCTTGTCAACTTTCGATCGTCTGAAACCGGAGCCTGGTAATTCCAACACGTTCCCGGACTGAAGAAGTCAGTTCCCATTGATTTGATATCCAACTAAAGAAAATGCTTGTTAATGCCTTTTAAGTTCTCGTTATTATAAACACACAGAAACACGCAGACACATTTCGATGAATCATAATCCGTCTAGGAGGAGAATCGAATCAACTAAGATTATCCACAATATCGGTTGCCATCGGATGTCTACGAAGTCAGCCAATTCTACTTACATGTGGCTTCCAAGTCAACCAATGGGTTAAAACACGATCGAAATGGTATGAATGACTGTGTACATAAATATGCTATTTTGATCCGTGTAGTGGTTATGAGGTGCACCAGGTGCCTTTTGGTTACCGCAAACCATCCGTTATTGATATGGGGACTAAAACAGTAACCAAAAATACTTATTTGTATGTTCTTTAGAGGGCAGCTGGATTAGAACTGGTTAGATCAACAGCTGCACCAAGCTAAACAAGCTGAAAGAGTGAGAAAACACACTCCGACCTTCTTTCGACCATCAGATTTGCATTATACTTGCGGGTGAAAGGGGAGAAAAATGAGTAATTTTGGCCATCATTGTGTGCGCTACGAATTTCGATGTTGATATTATTTTCAAACATGGCAAAATTCTTCAACAATTTCCATTGTTTTTTTGGTTTTAGGTTACTGATCGGATGCCTAGGAATTCTTATCATCGCTCCTCTCTACATATCAGCCGTGAGTCATACAAATGCTTTTTCAAGTTTACACAATGATTTGAATCACACATCCCAGATGGGCATGTTTCATTTGTGTATTGTACTAGAAAGGGTCCCTTTAAGCACTCGGTCGACTCGGGTGCACACATACATTGTTTGATCATTAGCTCCATATGTTGATGACTAGTGAACAGCTCATCTAGAATGGCAGAATCAGAAAAGCTTTACCCAGGTGAAGCGACGAGCCGGATCAGTTGGTTCCATTGAGACATTTCAGAATAGTCAAATCAAAAACGAATTAAAAACATTGATTGATTGATTAGAACTGATTATCCTTCAGACTTCACCTTCGAGCACATTCCTCAGTTCTTCTAGTCAACCATAAACTTGGCAGCACTAGAGTCAAGTTTCGCTCTTATTAGAGCTCATCACTAGTGCATAACCACCGTCCCGTCCGTGAGTTGAACTCTGGATCCATCTCAGAGAAGGCTTGTGCATTACCACTTTGCCAACAAGCTCATGCCAGGGCTGAACCGAANTCAGGTGTTGTCGTCAGAAATCGTCGGTCAGTTCAATTTGGCCCGATAGCAACGGACGGAGACAGTTGATTACCTGTTAACTTCATTCGAAAGCCTTCCATCAAGTGAGGTCTTCCATGCAGGTTACGGGCTAACTGGCCACAAACAAACATGATTATTTTGCAAAGATCACAATACCTTTACACATTGTAAGTGCCCTTTTGGTGCCTCTCTTCATTATAAGATTGTTTCACCCTCAGCCAGGATGTGATTTCTGTTGTTCAACACAGTTACTGAACAAAACTAATCCCAATTTTGCATATTTTTATCTCGAAAATCTGAAGTTCCCTTTGTTTCAGTGAGATCTAAGTTGCCAGCAGCTACCTCAAAGAAAACGAGAGCGTCATACGTGACTGTTAAATGGTAACCATTCTGAACCCGATGGATGGTAAAATGCAATCTTTTCCTTTGTCAACTAGTAATATCTGATCAGTATATCAGTTGGCAAGCAAAAACAGTAATCGCAGTCAATAAGAGATTATGTTTGAACGGAATGAGATAATACGAACCGCGTCTAGTCTAAGGCTAATGAGATCAACTCTTTGAATCCAGAATAAGAATGTAGAACAATGAGTAAATTGAACTGATTGCTAAAGTGATGAATTATCTTGTTTTTGGGAAGCTTAGAATGGAAATTGTTATACCCTTCAGCGTGCTTGATTCGATAGATGTTTTACCATATGGATATTCGGGTACCTGATTGATGAAGCTAAAATTATTTCATTATTATCTAACCACGACCAGAAAGCTTATTCTCCCTTTGTAGTTTTTGTGATTGTCTTTCTTATTTCAAAACCCATAATAATATATAAATATATATTCTTTCGTGAAAAGTTGCTATACTATATGGTACGGGAATAAAACGTAGCACTCGAATGTTTTCCTGGACAGCTACCAGAACAAAGTTGCTTAAGGAAATTGACAAATTTCCTTTCGTAGCTGTAGCTGTCGAGATTAATGAAATCAGATGACCTGGAAGAATAAAACAAATATGTGCACATGTATGTATATCACAACTTTTCTTCTCGAAATATTTAAATAGAACCGTATTTGCTTTCGGTCGAACAATATTATACTAAACTGGTGATTTTCTTTCTTCGACTTCATTGCCAATTGGTTCGTAGCAATGGGGCTACGATGATCCGTACCGCTGTCAGCGAATTTGTACCCCGGACAAATGCAGATGTGTTGGAATAAAAGGAAACATGGTACGTCATTCTGAAATATTTCTATGTAGAAGAACTATTTGAATTTGAAATTTTACCCTTAATGGTTATGCGGCGTATTGCGCAATTCGATGAATGGTACCTGCATACGAAATAAAGTTCTGGCTCAAAATCACAGAGCCTTTGAAATATGAGGCATGAATGGGTAGTTTTTCCAATGATTTTCATTTTGCAGCTGCGGACCTGTTCAAGGGGAAATACATATTGTGTGTGTGTATATAAGCTATTAGATAAAAAAATTTCTATCGCGCACATGGTTGATAAGTAGTGAATGTACTCAGTTCTGTTCGTCCTGAGAAATTGCGTCCAAAGATTAGGCTGCCACCTGTAACACATATGACAATAGTCATCATTTTAATTTGTATGCGCTGCACAGCATTTATTGAAGAATTAATAAAGCATCCTTAAATATGACAGTGACGATGATAAATAATAACCCTTGATTAATGCACAAAAATTGGCTCTGATGGACATTTACTGCCAAGTGCATGTTTTAAGAAATCACCTGGTTTTGTGGAGTTGATTTCTCTTGCTTCGCTTTGGGCCTGTCAGAGTCGACCAAACCTCGTGAAATTACTCAAAAAGAAACATTGTTCCACACTTAGCAAAAACTGGATCAGTATGTCCGCTATTGAGTTCCGCCAACCATAGTCGTACATCTTCGGGGCCAGATTGGCTCACTGACTCGTTTTGCAGGAGCGTGTAGACACACCGACGCGTCGGTAAACACACATACAAACCCCGCGACCACTTTGACCGGCATCTGTCAAACGCAAGCTCGATTCGAAGTTAGTGATCCACCTCACTATAGTGGCAGAATAGACCCACAATGAACGCACGGCATCATTGTTGGGTGACTAATAAAGATAGCCTTTTTAGGTCCCTTGCGCTGCTTGAATATGAGCGGGGAAAGGGGGAGCGACAATAAACTGAATGCGCTGCCAAAGGATCGTAGGCCATGATCAAACATAACCTATTGTACATATGTCTATTGAAGAAAAAGTATACGTGATTATTACAACTGCTGCTACCAGCGATGGATACTGATCATTGTGGTGGCTTAGGCATATAATCCATCACTTAAGAAAAACTTCCACCCAAAGGGGGTGCTTAGAACAATAAAAAAGCTCAAACGAAGCAGTATCATAGTGCAAAAAACATCATTTATTGATGATTTCTATCGGGTCGCTTACGTACAACCGTATTTCAGTAAATTTTGACGTCTCCCTATTATGTTCAGTAGTCGCTCCTATCCGGAGAAAACAAAGCCATAGCGAATATGAAATGAGATTTCGACATCAGTGCATTGCATACCAGTTATTCGTCACACGGGTTTTGTATATCCCACACTTTACTGACAGCATTTCAAGTTTAGTAAACAGTCACTAGCTTGACGTTGTGTTGCTGGTATGTCTTATTGGTTAATTCATCCATCCGTCCCCTGCATCATCTCTGTGAACTAACTGCTAATTATGTTGTAAATGATTTTACCCACAATCACAAACGAATTTTCCTTTAAAACTCGTATTTTTGTGTTATGTCCTCAATGCAGGGACCACCAGGCCCGGTCGGTGCACCAGGTGAATGGGGTTCTATCGGTGATCCCGGCCCAATGGGTCTAGCGGGAACCAAGGGTGAAAAGGGTTATTCCGGTCAGTTGGGCCGACAAGGTTTCAAAGGAGAACAGGTGAGCTTTTCCCGCTAGAAAAAACATCAAGGAGATATGGGTTTTCCCGTTTCGCTTGTTTTTGAATGTGTTGATTGCTGACAAACAATTTATGATACGTGGTACATTGAAGTTCCAAAGAAAGTTCACTGTAACCAAAAATTAATATTTCTTGCCATAGTATCCGGATTTCTGAATCTTGGGATCCAGTTAACTCCTTGAAAGGCTTCAAGTGAATCCAGATGTGTAATCGGTTATTATCCTGGATTTCTTAGGACTACAAATGGGAGTACAATCAGCATCATAACTAAAAGGTTTGTAACACTAACTGTAAAATACGAGCAGAGAATAAAGTTTCATGAATCTGAAAGATAATTTGAATGAATACTTTCTATAGAAAGACCAAAAATCAGGTGTAATATAAATTTTGGGCCTAAATGTGAGTTTCTACATAGAGAAGAGTAAACATTTCCAGCCATATTCAACGTAGTAGGATAAGGCAAGTTTACTTCAATAAATTTTATTCAAGATTAACGCTTTGACGCCTTGAAAGCGTTTAGTATTTTAGCTCAATGTTTTTTAGTCTCAGTACTACTATTTAGTGCTTTGTATAACACAACAGAACATTTTTGTCAGTCTTATTAGGCTGTGAAACATACATTCACCCGGGAGACAAATTGTGTGGTTTCTGTAATCTGTAACTGACTTCTGTTTCATTTTACAGGGAGTTCAAGGACCACCTGGTTATCATGGTCAAAATGGGCTTTCAGTAAGTGAGGCCTATTATGCTCTCCTTTATAGCTTGTTTCATTGAATCTTATCTGATTTATTTTACCTCTACCCTTCTGTTATTCGAACCAGAATGGCCAATAACAAGTTATACTATGTTGTACTTTGATTTTACTACATTCCACACTGTTGCAGAATCCCGGTCCCCAAATATGCGTTCTTGGAATGGAGCTTATCTGTCTGGATTCCGCTACCAATCTATTTTGAAATACTTTTTACAAAACCTGAACGAAAGGATAATTTGCGATCTACGTATCAAGAATCTAAATTTTGATTCGAGTCCCCCAGGACAGGGTTGCATTTTTCTAATCACCGAGTAACCATTGTAAAGAAAGTTTTCGTGCCGTTCAAACTTTGACCAACTTCCTTCAACGTGGTAAACTTCAGGATGTGTATCATTCTCGATGTCATCAGCTGCATCAATATTTTCTATGAGAACAAAAAGTAACATCATGATCACGAAGTGTATTTATTTCTCTGTTAATTCCTCAACTGGGCACGAACATTGAAATCACATTCAGTTCACTGAATGGTAAGCTTCTGAACAAGCAAATCTACACGGGGAAATGAAATGATTCGAAAGTCAGAAGTAATCCGATTGATGTAGATCTGAGAAAGTCATTTTCATCCATGGAAACATGTAACCTAATCCCTGGGGCTTTGAGTGGGGATTCAACCATGGCCCCGCTCGGTTAGACATAGCACTGAGTCAAAAAACAGCAACGTAAGCTGTCGTTAGTGGGGTTCGAACCTCTGGACCTTGGTCTGTTGACAGCAACTTAAAACGTGTTAATGCTTGCAAACGTTGCACAGAACATAATAATAAATTATTATACATGAAAAATGCCACCCGCTAGTCTTACTCGATAGCATTTGTCTGACAATTGAAAAAAAATTATGTTTTGCATGTTCATGTGGGAGTTTAGCTAACTGCACAAATTTATGTTCGACTTCGTTGTTCCCAACCGGAACATATTTGTGTTTACGGGAAGCAAAGTTCCATTAAACATTGTATCTAGACGGGGACGCGCCATATGTTTACCAGCAGTTGGTCTGGTAAACAACCTACTGTTTTGGTAAGATAGAAATCAAGCTTGTAAACACTTGATGCATGATGGATGTTTTCATTTGATGCGCATAGGCTCCGGCTTCCAACTGCTCGCCATTCTTACTTTTCTTGCAATGCGCTTGTATCATAATGTGACTAACAACAGTGATTGCCGCTTATTCTATTAGCTGTGGGTTGTACAGACTCGGTTTCTGAAGTCTGGTACACCCACCCACGCGCACACAACACATCGCAGATGTTCGTATCCCTAAACCAGATGTGTATTGTCCCCCAAGCAAAAGCGTGCGAAGCACCGGTCTCATGAGATGTTGAACTGTCCTAATCGAAGATCTATGCAAAACATTGTCCGGAAAAAACAGTGTCCTGTGTGTAATCTTCATGTTAGTATTTACACGGTATTACGTGGAAATCTGATAATCAATGGTGTGATGAGCTTTTCTCCCTTACCGTTATCCCTTGACTCAGGGCAATCCCGGGTTCATGGGACCAAAAGGAGACAAGGGAGAACCGGGATGCTACGGAGACCCAGTAAGTTATGTGCTGAACGAAATCCGAATTGAATTCAATTTATTCTTCATGCAGATCAAGACTCGGTACGAACTCATACTTGGATGTCTAATTAGTCAGACGCAGATGCTTCAGTCCGTTTTGTTGAGATGTGTCGTTTCGCAAATCTATATTACTTTTCTTTCAGATCTCGGATAAAGGTTTAAGATATGAATATTTTTGTAACTGGTGCTAACCGAGAGTATTGCAGGAAAATGAATACCATCTGAGCGAGAAAAATGCAAAGTTAATTATTTGCATCCGTTGGAATCTTCCCATTTAAGGGAAATGCAGCATAAAGTACCATAAAAAATCTAACCGCCTTTAACTTTCCACTTAAAATTCAGTATCTGTCAAACTCTTGATTAAAGCAATCTCGCAATACAGGCCAAGGAGTACTAATGAAATGATTGCCACTCTGCCGAACAATACGGGTGCATAAGGGGATCATAAAAATCGACACTCGAGCAAACAGAAATATTCAAGTTTACTTCAATTGAACAATTCTCGTACTGTGTCCGGAAGAACTGTAGGATACACAAATAATGCATCGGTCTAAACACAACTTTTGAGCATACAAACGACGGCAATGCGAAAGGTATTTCAAGGTTTAGCAATCAGGATTAAAATTGCATTTCGACAGATAAGAATTGATCAATATTCGAGCGAAAACAGAATGTATCCTCCTGTGTAACTTATGACATTATTCAATACAGAATATGAACGATTCATTGCCCTATACTTAGCTAACCAATATAATCAATGGCTGGTGCATGCGAATCGATAAGGTGCCCATGGAAAAACGGAAAGATTTAGCAAACGCTCCCTGCACACGTGTTTTCAGACGAATACTGTCTGGATTTAGTTTTAATCCCTGCATCCGTCTGCGATTCTCATCGTGAGATGCGTCATTCCACACCTGTCGGGAGCGCGTAGACTTTGCATCATGATGCTAAAATGTCACAGTGTGAAACATCAAATCGTTATTAAGATTGATGGCAGAAACTGAGATTCTTCGTGGAGATACTGAGTTGAATAGGGACGAAAACAAATGATTTCGCACAGCAAAACACCAACTAGCACCGTGAAATAGGTCCAAGAGCGTTTGTGACTGCAAAGGTCAACCAAGAACAAAACTAGTCCAATCCGTGACTGATCGATGTGTTTTCTCCTTCACATCTGACGCACCATGTGTTTTATCACACATAATGTTATAACAACACAAGTTAAAAGCAAGATTGTTTTCAGTGTTTTATCAACCGATTTAGATCAACTTTGGGTAGGAGAGGAAGTACTGATAGTTAACCAATCGATCCTGTTAGCTCAAAATAACTCAACTCTCATAAAATAAGTACTAGAATCCTACCTGTGCCAGTGATCGACTGAATGGAGATAAATGAAGAGACAATACGTCACTAGATTTTGAATGATTGGTCATAACATAACGTATAAAGTAAAAAAAGCGGTTTCCATGTTCATACAGTGAGTTTATTGCGGTGAATTACAAACTCCTTATTGATTAATAGAATTCAGAACATGACACGACAGCCCCACCTCCTAATGGTATACCGAAAATGGCAAGTTTTCAGTATATTAACCGTATGAGCAGACCCAGTTCAATGCTTATGGAGGCTTTTGTTCTTCATTCTTCATTGTTTAAAACTATCGGACCTTAATATTTAATACTATGACAATGCCACGGCCGCTTCTGAGTGCCGATCCTCTCTCTCTATTACAATGTTGATGAAATATTGTAATTAATTTTCTGTTGCCTTTTTAATTTTCAGGGTGACAACGGAATGCCTGGAATGCCCGGAATCTCCGGAATCAAAGGGCTGCCAGGGTTTGCTGGTCGAAAAGGTGTGAAAGGTCATCCGGGATGGAGTACAGAAGGTGCTCAGGGACCAAGGGTAAGAAACAGCTTGTTTTCCAGTTCGCTCTGTAACCGAAGCTCAAACATGCCGTTTGAAGTGTACACCTCGTGGTTCACCCTGCACTCATTGCCTAAAGGAATTGCGATATCAACATTATTTCTGAGTGGAGAACATCGTCATTATTTACGGAGACTGCACTACAGTTCAGTAACATGATCATTTACATTCAATAAAGTAATGTTACCCAATGCTACGTGTCATAACAGATTAAATCAAAGATATATATCAGAGTTAAGAGAATTAAAAGGCGCAATACGTTTGACAGCGTTAGTTACAAAGGAATAGTTTTTGGTTATTTCAAATGAATGACCTTTTATTGTCAATGTTTTCAGCCACTTTTTCATCGGGAAGAACAAAAAAGTATGCCAAAGATAAATTAGTGCTCCTTTCTACAACCCGGTATCCTAAACCCTAGAAACTGTTGTGATGTACATGGGACCCGAATGAGATAGTTATAATCTCCACCTTCAGTTTTCGGCTTAGATAAAAATTAACCAAAGAATAATGGTTTCATCAATTGCCAGATGATCAACTGGGCGGCATGCTTGCCTTGTGTCTGTGATGTCTCGGGTTCGTTTCTCAACTGAGTCGGTTGATGCACAACGTAAATGATAATCAAACACATCAAAACGTGAAAACAGCTACATGGCTATTTGGTTCGCACTCCGTTTGCTCTGTCCACAAAAAACCCCATCACATGGTAAAATCAGATCCTCCATTACTCAATTGCAACAGGTAATCAGGTTCCTGGTGATCAAGTGGATAGTTAGCTTCAGCTTTGCCTGTGAGGTCAGTGGTTCGGTCCTAAGTCACGTGGTTGGATTCGCACTACCCTTGAAATTCACCAGGGTCGAAGCAACCGTAGAGTTCTTCTGAAGTTTTCCATTCGTCCAAGGTTCCATCTATATCCGACACAATGCACTACATAACTATCAAAGGTCATGTATTAAGACAACCTATGTGTTAGACTACTGAAGGAATGAGAACGTTGAAAGGCTGATAACACTATCACGAGAAACCACACAGGTTACCTGGAATGTTGAAGATTCCTAAACGCCATCGCGCGCAACAATCAAATATGTGACTAAGATCTTCTAAGCCCTGATGAGGGTGATCTTGTATTCCCGAAATGGGATACCTATGTCTACACTGAGTCATGTTGAGTAGCAAAAAAGCCGTTTCTATATTCTTAGTGAAACAACACAGCCTGACAGAGATTTGTGCCGCTGAACTTGGACTGACATAATAGGCACCTTTTTAGTTGGTAAACGCAGTGTTTGAGAAAAGTGCGTGCACATCTCGTGAAAAGCTTGAAATGAGTAGTGGTCTATTGCATGTTTATGATACCCACCAACAGAAAATTCTACTGTCCGTGCACTCACCAGCGCACTGCCTGTCAAAAATGCATGACTTCATATGTTCCAGTTGTTTTTAATGATGAATGAATGAATAGCATTGGTGGTGAGTATATTTCCATCTTTTCAAAGTTAAACAACAGTTTCGGCTAACAAGGGAGCTTATCCCGTCGACGAAAAAATACATTATTAAGGAGAGCAGTCTTTTCAATTCATTTGACGCAGCAATTCAACCGGACACGACTCAGCCGTAACACGGCTTGACTAAAATTGTCGTGAAACGTCTACTCAGCCGTTTGTGACTGTTCGTGTAAGCGCCTAACAGTAACATGCTGATACATGACCACTTTACCCATGTGCACATTCCCACTAATATGTTTGCTTATTGGTTTGCTACAGGGAGATCCAGGAATACCGGGTCACATTGGAGGATATGTAAGTTTATTCATTTGCAAGATAATTTCTTCACTTGGTCTCGCATGTTACCTATAATATTTACATTTATTTTGTTTTTTAGTTTAGGCTCTCTAGACCAATTTGGATTGTTCTAAAATATGTTTGGTCTCGTACCAATGGGAGAAGTCTTTTGGGTGGGAAAAATGTCATGAGGAATGTTAAGCAGTGCTTAGATTAGTTGTTCTGATTTGGAGGTGAAATTATTGTGCTACTTCCGAATTCGAGCTTTTATAGTTGCTTTGAGTAATTGTAGTATTCGGAATAGGAATCGAAATCGAATAGAGCGAACTCGGTATCGGACTGAA